GCTTTACTTATCTCTTCAATAATTCCATTCACTTTGCCTTTCTCAACACAACTGGTATCACTGTGAGGTAGAATTCTTTGTCTGTTTGTTCGGCATACTTTATCCTGCCTGGTCCGCTAATGAAGATCATAGACAGTTTTTAAATTATGTCTATAGGTAGACAGATGTCTAGATTTAGAACCGAAACATCTACAAGGTCTTGAGATGAATGACCTGTTGTTTTCTTAAGCTTTTCTTTTTTATAAATACTGTGTGGCGTAATCTTGATTCTCTTTGGTAGTCACCAGATTAGTGTTTTTTCTGGTTTAGCATACCGCAGACATCAAGCTAACAAATATTTTTTGGATTGAGAAGGAACATAATGCTTGTTCTCGTCTCCTATAGAATTTAAAGTCTGATAACAACAAATGTTTTCCTCTACATTTTTAGGCTTTATTTGGTTATAATAACTTCATCTTATAGCGCATTTCAGCATTTTTCATTCTTCTTCACCAAATATTTGTTTTTTCTACGTTGGTCTATTATATCTCTGGTTGGCATTGAACAAATTCTGTTACTTCCTATGTTACTATACGATACTTACAGAAAGTGTACAGTCTTTCTTTATATGAAGATTCGTTCACTGGCTAAGTAATACAGACACAAGAGGTTATTGCAAAATGTATTATCAACCACGAAAAAAGATCTGTTGCTTTAATCGCAAAACAGCATTAAAAATAAGCAAGAAAAATGTAAAAACTGTTTTGCAATTAGTTTTCTGTTTATTTTAGCTTAAAACTTAGCCTAGATTTTTTATATTGAGTCGCATACACTTGCTCGCTCAAACAGCTGTTTAAGCATACTAATAATGTTGTCAGAAACTTTGTCATATTACACTTCCTGTAAAGAAATACTGCTCAGGTTTTGTTAAATAAAAAATTGAAATGAAAATCTAAAAAAATTTTTTTTTGATTTTATCTGTTCTAGAAAATTATAAACAAATATTTTTTGACTGTTCTTAACAACATGAAAAATCCAGAACTGAACAGCAATTTCTAGATGTTTGGCAGGTTTTTTTGTTGATGCCTATACGTGTAATAAGTTTTTGTAAAAATAATGTGTCTAAAGAAAAATAAAGTTGGAATCTAGAACTGCAATTGAAGATTATACAGGCGAAAAAGTATTAACTAATTAATTCCGCTTTTAGGTCCTGTTAACACTGAGTATTCGACCAGTTTTCAATATTTTGATGAAATTTATAAATGTATCATGTTGAAATGAAACGTCTAATAAAACATACCCAAAAAAGAAACGATAAAACAAGATGCAAAGCGACAATCTGCTCTTGATATAAACCTTTATGCTAAGTATATTTTCCAATAACAAACTGAAAAGTCACTTGCAGTACCCGGTAATATAAACACAATAAATTATAAATCAATCATTAGTAACAAAGAATATCAACTTTTATATTAATAGAGTGACTAGTTTTATGCAACGATAAAACATTCTTATGACGAATAGTTTAAAAAAGCAAGAAAAATGACAAGAAGTTGAAATGAATTAAAACATCACAATAAGCTCATTAATCGTCTGAAATTTTAATTCTTTAACAATTGAAAACAGAATCTCTATTTTACCTTAGCATTTTAGAGTTAACCGTTACAAAAGTAAAACCTTTTTCTAGCATTATTTCTATTTTCACTACCAATTTTAAATTACGTTTCATGATATGCCGAGAAAAATATATGCAATTTTTACCATCATTTTCAAAAACCATTTAAATAACCTTTCCTAGTTTGTCTTACCTGACCATTTATATTTTTACTCCAATAATTTCTTGCCTACTGTAAAGTCATTAATAAACTCTGCACTATTATTTTAACACCTATATAAAACACCAATTTTTTTTTTGAAAGTGTACAGAGACAATCATTTATAGATTGCTAATATTTGTTAATAAACTCTTTCGACGTAGTAAAACGTTTAGAGGTAAATAAATCATAAATTTCATAATCAACGCAGTGTTTTGAAGAGTTCATTCAATATGAAGAATTGCGTTTTTTTCAATACCAAATGGCTATTTCTTTCTAACGATCCGAACTGCAACTATACAGTGGTTTCATCCAAGAGTAGCTCGTTTTGATTTGCAGTAGGTGTTCTGCTAAAAAAATGCGTTAATAAACGAACATAAAATGAAAGTCTTCGTTGTTGTACAACAACAAAAGAGGATTCTACAATGAGCATAAATTTTGTGAAACAAAGGAGCTTACACGAGTAAAGGAAGTATTAGTTAGCGAAGCAAAAACTATAACGACACAAATTTCAGAGCTGTCTAGTTAGACCAACCTGTTAAAATCATGTAGACCGTTGGGCCTTTTCGTAGAATAGCACAAACTGCAGACAACTTTCCTTCTAAAACGTATAAAAGTTATGCGAGACACTAAGAATGAGGAAAAGATGGTAGTGAAAACAAAAAAGCATATTTTGATCTCGCTGTTAAGATTTTCCGTGTTTATAATATTTTTAGGCAATTGGTTTTAGTTTGACTACCCTCATTTATTTTTTTATCATTTTTGCTCATGTGACTGACTTTTTTAGCATTTAATTAATTAGCCGATATTGTAAAAATGCTCAGCCCACTACAGTCATACAACGAAAAAAAACTTATAAGTTATGCATGACCTGTCAGTACCTTGCTCTAAATTAAGTGTTCTTAAAACTTATAAATAAACTGGTACTGTCGCAACCATACGCGAAATGGCAGTTTACAGTATAGAGTGGTCGGCTGCATTTTTGCTGAGCGAAAGCTCTCAAAGGAATAGCAGCCAGGATCATTACAATGTTGGGAAAGGTGTATAAATAAACGATGATGTTCATTGAGAGTTAACACTTTCAGAATTAATTTTAGTCTGTATTGTTCTTCGTTGAGCTTATATTCTTCACGTTTCATTTACGTGCCCACTGGCAGATAGAGTATTTGTGTTTGCTGTTTTTAACAAGAGATAACCATACGATACTAAATTTTGTTGGTTTATTGTTACTCTTTGAGATACACAGTAGCTTTTCAGACTACTTCTGCTAGCTTTATATCTCTTGTGCCATTTCAAGGTGTAGCTAATAAATTAGTAAGCCCTGAGATATATAACACGCGTAAAGAGCTCAAACGTAAAGTTGATAAGCTCAGGCAAAAGACGGTCGAAAGGTCAGGTCATGTTCTTCTGAAGCAAAAAAGTGGTGGTTCCAGTTCAGGGCAAAGAAAGCAGCTTGTCGTTGTAGAGAGTTTACTGCTGCCTCACTTCTTAAATTCATATCAGAAGTTAAAGAGCTAATTGACTGGTGCTGTAAGTGGCAAAAAACTACTTGCGCTTACAGCGAACTTGGTAAAAACTAGGTCTTAGAGGGCAATCGAGAAGAGGGAACAAAAAGGTCCAATCCCCAAATTTAGGAGACTGTTTAAGCCGCTACAGATAATTTTCAGTCAAATAACAGTACAACATTTTTTTGCCAATAGCTGTGTAAAATGACTCAGTAATACCCCATGTTTTTAACAGGAAAGACGTAGGTTGCATATCAAAAGGTATTGTAATTTCAACATGATTAAAATGAAATACAAGCAGGAAAGGCCAAATCTTACACTTTCCACATGAAATCGAAAAAAAGCGTTGTAATAGGCACTAAAGCGCAAGCTAACCAAAAGCTTGGTGACGAGAACATTATGGAAGCCACTCCGCACATTTCAGCCCCCCATTTAATATTTGGCCAGATCTCAAATGCAAAATAAGTAAGCGGTGTAGGATGTAGAAATGCGAAATTGTGTAAAGGTGCAATTTTTT